GTCCAGCGGTACCAAGAGATCCGCGCCCAAAGAGAGGCGCTGATCGTCGAGGCGGCCAGGCGCCCCAAAGGGAAAACGCGAGCGAGGAACAAAGGGAGGCCAACCTCAAAGGCTGATTTGCATAATGTTATCCCCGGATTGATAAATCGTCCAATTTTTTGGGGGGTGTTCCCTCCAAAAGTGCCGAACCCCCACTAAAAGGGGACAATCAACCAGGGGTTTATTTATCCGGGGTTAACACGATGGCTCATGGAGGGGCTCCCTCACTTCCGGCAAAAAGCCGTGGCACAGCCGTATTTTCTTCATGAGTTCGGGACATGTCAACAGACCTACCAACCTAGAGCTAGGTCCCCCAGCTAGGTGCCAACTTTTACCTTTTTTTTGGTACGGAAATTCACAGAAAAAAGCTGGTACCCTTATTCGAACCTCTCTGCTGAAGGACCTAGAAGGGAAAACACCCTTAAAACGCCCACGGCCGGCCAGAGGCGAGACTCCAGCCAAAGGTACCCCCGATTCAACAGTTTTGCCTGCAAACCACAATTTTGGGGAACGCATTTTGCAGGCTGGCTTGAGGGTGCAGGTTTGAATCTATGATCCATTCAACCATGTGCGTTTTCAGAATATGTGTTATGCCGTTTTTTTGTTCTTCCTTTTTTTTCTTCGGGGGATCGATTTCGCTACCGATTTGTTTCAACGGGCTTAAGCAAATGGAAGGGCGGGGAAAAATGTATTTTTACCTCTAGGTTACATACTTGCCGCTATGACGTGAGGAATAGAAAGGCTTGGGAAAGCCCTGGCTACCTACTAGAACTGGAAGCACTGGGCTGATAATTTGAGATGTGTGGGGGGTCAAAGGCCCTCGCATGAGTCTTGGGCTTCTGCTCTGTTCTGGTACCAAACCCTGATACGTGGCTATGAATTTTAATAGGGAACCGCCTCAAAAGTGGGTGGACATGAATCCCCGCCTAAATGACGCCCATCAAAGGGTGCCTAGTTAAAACTCATGCCCAAGTGGGTATGTGTCAACATTGTGGTTACACCCGAAAAGCATGTTCGTATTTTCGTGTGCCCTCAAACCAAGGTCGAAAGGGTACCCTCAAAAGCGCACACACACACACACACGCGGTGTGTGTGATCATCAAGCCCTCAATTAGCATGGCGAAGGTTGTGGAGGATATCCAACCGTAACCATGGCCCACACAAGGACAGCCCATGGCCCACATAAGGGTGCTTACCCAAGGAGATCAAGCAACTTTCTTGAATTTTAGTTGGTCATGAGGGAATGGGTATTAGTTCCAGTCTAGGCAGCATATGACAGCGCCGAAACTGGTTCTGGGGGTTATCCCGTTTACCTACTACTGAAAGGGTGACTCTGATACTGGTGTACCGAAGCTAGTGCATGTTGCAACTCGCAGCCGAATATCAATCACTCGAGTGACAACTCCACAAGCACCTCGAGTCAAAACTACGCAATTATTTCTGCGCAGACAGGGGCCTTCTTTTTGCGCACATGGGCTCATTGGGAAAGTTTAGGGTTGTTCGATGGCTTTCGACCTTGCCAAAGTGTTGAATCGAAGAAACATCTTCTGTGTCGGTTCCCAGCGTCTCCTTAGGCACGCGCCCCCCCCTCTGCCCCCAAAATCTTTCTTTCTCTCTGTCTCTCTCTCTCCCCCCAACCCTCCCCTCGCCCTCGTTTTGCCCTCCAAATGAGGCCCTAAGCCGTTTTCGGCGGAACAACCCCATCCTACGGTGATAACCGTGGTTGCTGGTAATTGGAGTTTCGCCTCCTTCCTTCCCGCTCCAGTGAGACCATTTCCGTATAGGTTTCTGCAAGGGAACCACCTGGACCGTGACTCAACTTACCCTTCACGTTTTGCAACTTTGGAATCCCTTTCCTAGGGATAATTCTTTCGGGTCCACCCAAGTAATCTAATAGCCATGAGTCCATTTCCCAGGAAAAACTTCCATTTGCTTAAGACTATTTGTTTATGGTCCCCTGTTGGTTTTAAAGGGAATCGATTTCGCCACTGGAAATATGTGGACTTTCTCCAGGGGACTTCTCAAAGGTAAAGGGCAAGCGTCACCAAGCCGTTTTCCACATCTCCAAGGCCCTGTTCCGGCTCTTCTGCGCAGATCGAGAGGCTGCTGCTAACCTCGAGGTGGGACTGCGCTTCTGGATCTGTGGGCTTTCTCGAAATGGGATGAAACAGGCTGCAGTTCTCGCGATCTTCCCATGTGTTGGTTAGTTTTCAAGGTGAGCCACAAGGAAGTAGCAATCATTGTATCTTCCATTTGGTTGGTTTTCAAGGTGTGGCACCAGGAAACAACCAGACAAAATCTAGGGGTCCCCTAGTCCCTTCCATTTGAAAGTTTCAGAGTATGGGTAAGTTATTGCCCTCAGTTGGTTGTAAAGGGAAGATATCACTAATTATTGGATTGCTGTATTTTTTTCGCGGGACTCAAGCAAATGGTGGGTATACATTGGCAATGTAGCGGTATATGTTTCACGGGTAGCGGAAACCATCTTAAGCTCTTGGCATAGCATACTGGAGGCTCCTCCAAAACTCATGATTTTCATATTTGAGTCTTTCTTTTTGTGAGGGCGACCTTTTGGGGTTGGGAAGGGGAGCCAAAACTTACCTCTTAAAAAACACAACTTTTCAACTTTTTGGGTAACATGGGCTATATGTCTGTAAAAGATTAACTTCCCCAGGGCTTGGAGTTTTAAGGGGTAAGAAAAGGAAAGCCGCGGCGCCAGTTTTGTTGGTCCGATTCCGATTCAAGACGAGCCACCCATTTCAAGGCGACTCGGACTCAAGGTAGGGAATGACCATTCCGGGTGTTGGGAATGAACCCAGGGATTCCCTTCAAGGAAACCACCAGTTGGACGGTTGTTTATCGGGGTGATTCCATTTCTCCTTTACACCAACAGTTCAACAGCTCGGCTTTGGCCAAGTTGGACGGTTCTGCCTATTTTATGACCGATATGGGGGGTTTGCCAACCAAAAGCAGGTAAATGGATCCACCCGGAGTCTCCATGACCCGAAATAAAAATGGGTCCACGAGCCCCATTAAATTGGGTAAGGATCAACCGTGTTTAAAGGGTCATGGAGGCTCCAGGTAAATGGATCTGGGTCGAAGGTTGTGGCTCAAAGATGTTGAATCTTGGAAGCCTCGAGCTTGGTGTTCGCTAGGCGGCGGACGACCTCCGCGAGGAGGTGGTCACAACCGAGGCAGAGTTCCGGAAGAGGCCCGCCTGAGATCTCACCCCGGTTTTTTTTTTTTTTGGATGGTAGGTAACTAAGGGAACACATTTTCTCGAATATAAGGGATTTGGGCTTTATTTGGGGTCTCCAAAGTTAGATCGTGTGTCAGATTAGACCAAACGGATCTGTTTTTCTTTGGGTTGTGTATTTTTTATTTGGTTTCCCTTTAACCCGCCAAAAGGGGTAGCCTGCAAAAAAGACCCTAGAAAAAGAAGCATCGATGGTCAACTTATGTGGAGTGTGCCTGGAGTCTCCATGACCCTTTAAAAATGGGGGTCATTACCCATCCCCTCACTGCATCTTCGGAGGTTGGACACAGAAAGAATCCAAAGACTCGACTTCAGCTGGAACAAACATAGTTAGCAGAAGAAGCAAACATAGATCACTCCACCCGGAACTGTTCAACAAGCAGACCAAACCAAAACAAGAATACGTCAAGAAACACCTGAAACCAAAACACAAACATGCTAAAAACAAAGATTCACATCCATGGACTTCACCGTCTCTACTCTTGGTATGGTCGCAAAAGAAACTGACTGGTTTTTGCCGCCCCCCCTCTAGAAATAAAGAACAGAACCCAAAAACCAAAAAACCGAAGAAGAACAATGAAACAAATTACAAAAAAAAACATGCCAAGAATAGCGAAGTTGCGCTTCCATGCCCGTTCCCCCTGCGTTTTGTTCGTGGCGCAAGGCGGCGCTTGGTGGAGGAGGTGGAGGCTCAAAAGCAACAGGCGGAGACGGAGCTCCGGGAGGCACGTCTGGCGCTCTGGGTCGGCGCGTCTGACGTGGGTGGTCGGTTTCTGCCAACAAACAAAAGAGGGTAAAACAGAAAAAACAAACACAGAAAAAGGTTGGGTTATAAGTTGGAGACCCTCCAACTTCAAACTAATCTTGGGTTCAAAGCCCCAAGATTCTGGGGTGGTGTCCCGTGTTGGGTAGCTTGAGGGTGGTGGGGGTTTCCCATGTCAGAATCTGGGGTGACCAAATTCTTCCCGGCTACATGTTACGGAAGGCCAAAAGAGGGACTCAGAAAGGGATTCCGCGGAACAGGTTGTGCTTGGGGATTTCTGTTCAGTCACTTTTTCAACCAGAGTCAGGATGGATCCAAAGACCTGGTTGGAACAAGTTGGCAGAAAGCAGAGATCTGAATTGAAAGACACAGACGGCCTTCTGTAAGAAACCCATGGGCAAGCCACTGGTGTAGATAGGCTTTATAAGCTATCGATTTACCAACAGAACTTACCAATTTTTCCACAAGGCCACCTATGTGCGGGATGCCCCAGCGCGGGGCCGTGGGTTTTGTCTGGCATAGCCTTCTGGTGCCTCAAAATCAAGCTCTGGAATGGGCGGTTTCCATTTTGGCGTGTCCTTTTTGTTTCTCTGTGCTCACTTCCTGAGTTCCGTTTCAGACCATACACGACGAGCATGCTGCACATAGTGCCCATTGACTTGGACCTGTTCTTGGTGACTCCCAGCCATCCCCTTAGCTTTTTATGTTTTTAGCTTTTTAGATCCCCCATTGCTTGTCCAGGGCGCGAATATGGAAGGGGGGAGGGTGGGGGACCTCAAAAGCGCATATATGCATTGTCCACGTCCCCCAACCATTATGAATGGGGGATCTTTTTAGCTCTTTAGTGTTTAGTGGGGATGTCCATCTAACCCACCACACGCTGAACTTTTAGCAGTGGATCTGAAAACGGACGGCCCGGTGTTGGAAGGAGTGCTTGTGGCATTGGACAGCCTCAGCATGGATGTGCCCGCTCGTAGCTGATTCGTCGGAGATGCAAGTACATCTTTGGCTCGGGTATACACATGAGTTGTATTCAAACCCGGTATTAAACTGGTTGACCCAGAACCATGGAAGGAAATACAAAGGCGGATATCCGCAGCTGTTTTTGGCTGGGACTGTCCCTTCCCAACCTTCATCTACCCGGGTTTTGATTGTGGCTCACATGGGATGCGCTCCAGACATCAGAGGAGTTGGAGTACTTGGCACCAGATCGAGCTAAGATGAGCAAGCTCATTGCCAGCATATCTTTTGTTCGTCAGAGCATTTTGCTTGGTGCCTTAGTGGTACACCAAAAGTTTGGATACTTTTTTGGGCCATCCACTCAGGAAGTGAGGTATTTTTTGTTGCACCCGTTTTTTGTTTTTTTTTCTTTTCTCGGGGTACCCCCTCAAAAGCGGATGGCTGAAAGGACAACCACGAGAAAAAAGCAAATTTGTCCATTGGTTTCCCTTCATTTCGCTTCATTTCCCTGAATAATTTTAAGTCATCCCCCTTTGACACATACGCTTGGGTAATGTTGACTAATTCCGGATCCAAGTACAACCCGTCCTTTCATCCAAACGTGGTCTGAATGCCCATTAGAAGGGGGCATCCCCCAATCAAAATAATTTAGTGTTATTTATTGTTTATCCGGGCAAACCATACCCCCTGTTGCATCCGTTTACTGGGCTGTTCAGTTCTGCAATACGAAAGAGCCATATGGGTTACGAAAGGCGTTGGTCCCTTGGATTTTCCATAGTGTCCTTGGATCCGGCAAAGTGGCTGCATTGTGAGGGGTGCTCAAAATTTGTCCATGTGCGTTTCAGACTATTTGTTTTCCTATTATACGTGGCTAAGTTCCTACAACCCTCAGCAACTCAAGTGTTCAAGCCAGAACCCCATTCCAATGACATCACTTGGTGGCTCCCAGCCATCCGGTTCCTTAGCTTTTTAGATCCTTTTAGTGTTTAGTGGTAGTTTCCATTTGACCCACTAAAGTTGTTCACTTTCAGCGGGGATCTAAAAACGGGCAGCTCAGAAATGATTTTCGCCAGTCGCTGGATGTCTTCACGACCCTAAAACATGGAGTCATTACCCAACATAAAGGGGTTATGACCCTTTTTTCTAGGGGTCACAAAGAGACTCCAGGTCAGTCGCTTCCTTGACTTCGCTGTTCTTGGCATGTTTTTTTTTGATTTTTTAGTTTTTTGGTTCTGTTCATTTTTACTGGGGGTCTGCCAAAAACAGTAAGTTTTTCGCAAGCCAATACCAAGAGTAGATAATTTGAGCCAGGTTCAGAACGAGCACTTCTCCCTGAGCTCCAACCTGGAGCAGCGAAAGCCGGAGATCGCCAACTGCCGGAAGCAGGCGCGGGCCGAAGGGCCGAAGCTCGGGCCGACGCAGCGCTCCGAGGTGCGAAACAAACTTCACGCTGGTTTTGGTAGGAGAAACCGGCAGGAGACCAAAGAAGTCCAAAAGGTAGATGTAGGGAATCTACATACATATATAAATATATGTATACATGTATTGTGTAGATGGCCATCCTTGGGAAGGGGGGGAAGTCGCATGGTCTGGAAGACGACGACGGAAGGGGAGGCGCTCAAAGACCCCGGAAGACTGCGCCAGGGCTTGCTTTGGGGTCTTGACGTTATGTTCCAAGCCGTACACATTTGTACGTGTTGGGCAATCTAATATGTGTTTTCGCTATTTTTTTGGGTACACGTGTTTTTGGTTGTTTGCTCATTTGGTTGTTTTGGTTTTGCTTGTTCGATTTCTGTGGTTAATGTGCTTAGTTGTTTTATTTGGGGGTTGTTGCTTGTTTGTGTTGTTGTCATACACCTGTTTTTGTATTTTGCTGTCTTATCGGCTTGTTGTTGGATAAATTACTTTTACTTTGATATGTTTGTCAGTTTCGGATATGTTTGTTTGTGTTTGGCCATTTGGATATGTTGGTTGCCGGATGATTTGCTTGTTTGCGCGTTTGGCCGCCTCCTTGTACTTGTGTTGGGTTAATTGACTCGTTTGTTTTGGTCATTTGCTTATGTGTGCTGTTTTGGTAAGTAGTTTGTTTATGCGGCCATGTTCTTTTAGTTTTGTAAATCTATCATGTTAATTTGCTTTGTTTGGGCGATTTGCTTGCCTTACATTGGTTTGTTGGCTTGGCTTGGGTTGGCTCTTGTTCGCTTGCTTGTGTGTGTGTGTGTGTTTGTGTTTGCCTCTTTGTGTCTTCTTGCTTATGTGTTTTTGACTTATTGGTTTTCAGGGGTACAACTTGAGACACGTCTCGTCTTTGACCTAGTTGGGTGAAAATGCTTCCTTGATGTTCGTGAACAGTGTTGGCTTCGACTTGTTTGGTTTGTTTGCTTGCATGTGTTGTTTAAGTTTACCTGGAGTCTCCATGACCCTTTAAACATGGGTCAACGACCCCATTATCTTGGGTAATGACCAACCATGTTTTAATGGTCATGGAGACTCCAGGTAGTCGTTGGCTTGTTCGGATTTTGGCCGAGCGCAGGCTTTGTGTGCGCTCGGCTTGAGTTCCCTCAAGCCGGGCCCATGCCCAGAGGGTCCAAGTACCTGATATTTGAGGTCTTGGGTTTGGTTCAAGGGGATTTATCAAATCCGCAGATTCCTGAAATCCGCAAATATAAGGTACGGAGGGAGCCTCTATGGTGACCCATACGCCTGGTTTGGGGGGTCCATGTTAGAAGAGATCCGTCACTTTCCAGACCCTTCATGGTTTGGATGGTTTGGGATTGGGAACCCTGGTTCTTGCACTAGGTTCTCCAGTGCCCGTTTACCGTTTCTTTTTTGGTTGGGAGGGTTCCCCTACCATAGACTACAGAAAAAAGTTGATACCGAATATATTCTAACCTCTCAAATCTGGAGGACCTAGTGTAGAGGGCAAATGGGAACTCCAGCAAACCTCCAAAACCCTACGGCGGGGGGCGCGACTCCGCGGCTCCGCCCCGCTTCGCTTGGCGCAAAGCGAGTCGAGGCGGCTCATTGGACCATCAAGGAGCGTGAGGCGCAGGCGCGAGCTACGAGCTGCCGGCCGTGGTGGGGAGGGGAGGGAGGGGGGAGGGGGGGGTGGGGTGGTCAGTCGGCGGCCTGCTTGGGTGTGTCTAAACACCATTGTTCTACCACGAGCGATATGTTCTCAAGGGAGACCGACTCCAGTTTCGGACTTTGACAGCCCCCAAAAAGGTCAAAAGCAATTACCTGGAGTCTCCACGACCCTTTGAAAATGGTTGGTCATTACCCAAAATTAAGGGGTCATGGACCCCTTTTTCTAGGGGTCATGGAGACTCCGGGTATACGTACCGATTTCTTGCTTCATACGATTTCGTATCACACTGACGGACCGTACTAGGGCGGGGGGTTCCTGTTTTTTCTTCCTGTTTAACGCCGACCAAGACAAGACGGGCCCATTTCTTTTACCCTTGACATTCTCAGTGCTTCCAGGCGTTTCGCCACTTTTGGGAACCAGGGGTTTTGCCATCCATGGCAACAGCTAGGGGTAAGAATACCTGGTTATCTACAGCGGCAACCAGAAGCACTGGCATTGACATCTGCAGGGGCCCCTACTACAATCCAAGCCAGTCCGAACATCACAGTGTTTTTGATTGCCAATTTCAGATGAGTTTCCGCTTGGGGTGGGGGGGAAATGCAGGAACCTGGTCTGCCTTGTCCCCTTGTCTGGTTGTAGGCTGGAGGGGTCGTGCTCAATAGCTCATATGCTTAAGACAAAGCAACGTGAAACCAGCAGCGTGTTTTTTGACCTTCGCGGTTGAATACCGTCCCCAGTCCTCAAGTCCTCAAATAGTGTATGGAAGTGACATAGCGGCAATAGTCATACATTTCAACTACCGCCTCCCCAACCTCATTCCCCCCCCCCCTCCCGGGCATTGGACCCTTAGAGTAGATTTTGCAGCCTGGAACCCTAACAAACCAATACCCTAAATGAAGAAGGTTGAAAAATAGACCCTAAGTGTCCATCATACCCCCCCCCCGGTTTCCTCCAAATAAGGGCTTTAAGAAGCAATCAGCGTGTTCTTCGCCCAGCAACTGCCCAACTAAGCTCTGGGATGATTTGGAGCAGCTTTCAGGCAGGGTTCTGGACCAGTGGGTGCCGAGGCTGGGGCTATATACCACTTAGGACTGCTTGTTGTTCGCAGCCTTTTTTTTCCGCAGCGAGGGGAATCTCGCCCTACGCACGACAAGCTGCAACTCTCTCTTTTTCCAAAATGCAAGGCCAAGATCCAGCAGGAGCAGGAGAAGATGAAGACACTGGAGGCCTGACTTCGTTCCTTGCTTTGCTCCAAGCCTCGCAGAAGCCTTAGGTGTCCGTTCAAATATTGATGGCGCTGGTTTCAGTTGGGCTTTTCAGTTGTGCAGTTTCCAAAACCTGGGCAACAGTTCTGCAAGCTCTGAATCTGGTCGGTTCGGCACCCATTATGTCAGAGGTATATAACTTACCACCAACACCTCTCGCCCTGAAACTGCCCTTGATTGCAGTCTTACAACTCTGTGGAGGACTCGAACATGTCATGTTCGCTTGGGCTTCCCCTTCGACATGCTCACTGTTGAGCTTCTTGTCCTTTTCTTCACACCTTTGGCATGGTTGCTGTTAGCCTGTATCAATTTCCTCTGCAAGGTCTGCTCTTGCATCAGTGTCGTTGGTCCTGTTTCTCAATTTCCGCAGGTTTGCTGATGCTGCGAGGCGTTAACAGTTATCAGGCCCACCTTCCCTTCACAGTTCTTGGCATGTGTTTGGGTTTTTAGTTGTTTGGTTCTGTTAGTTTGTCGCAAGCCCATACCAAGAGTAGAGATGTTCCAGCAGCATCCAAAGCCGGGATGTGGCGAATGCAAGCCAAAGCCTACCTGTCCTTTGAAAGTCGGGAAGTTGCAGTCAACGCATCGGGCGGTTGTATCAAAGCTGAACAGGACATGAGTCACAACCCGGGTAAAGTGGACCCAAAACCCATGGTAAAGACTAAGGGTGTGTAACCTATTGCGGTATTTGTTTTGAGGATACCCCTTTTATGGATGTGATTCAATGACTCCATATATGTCTTTGGTCTCTCAATGTCCATTGGTTGGAGCTCCAATAGGTGCAGTTTTATTGGACGCCAGCAACAAAATGTCCACTTGCAGCAAGTACCACGTTTCAACGCGCGTCCTTTGTAGGTTTGAGTAGAGTTTGATGGCGCTGGTTTAGATCGCGTTTATTCCATTTACCAGGCCCGTCTTTTTTTTTCTAAAAGGACACCTATGGACATGTGTCATCACGTGTCTCTTCTTCCAGCCGCGTGGCCCTTGGAACCGTTCTGGATGCCGTGAGAGCAAACCAAAGGCGGCATAGTCATATTCAATTGAAAGGCCGCATAACGTGGTGTACCTGGAACCCTGTAAAGGATGAAAGCGGCATTGGTCATATTACCTGGCAATAACGTGGTCTACCTCATATTACCTGGCAATAGCGTGGTCTACCTGGAACCCAATGAGCGTGTGGCAGGTCCCCCATTGCTTTGTCGGGGGAGGGTTCCGCTACTAAAATAGACTACAGAAAAAAGGATACCCTTATTCTAACCTCTCTACTGGAGGACCTAGGGCAAAGCCTTGGTGCGAGAGCTGCATCCCTGAGAAATGGATTCAGACCCCTTCGAAAAGCCAAATCCCATTTGGTGCTAGGTCCCCCAGCTAGGTGCCAACTGTTACCGTCTCTTTTTTGGGGGAGATTCGGTTCCCCTACTAAAATAGACAGAAAAGGCAGGTACCTCTCTACTGGACCTGGGAATTGACCTAAGCCCGGACGGTTCATTCCATTCCCAGACGCCATCGCAGTGGATGGATCCACTTACGGAGCCATTCGCTTGGATCCACTTCCATTTTTGGTGGTCTTGCCCCTCTATTCGGAAGGTCTGAAAATGACGGGCTCGCTCCCCCTTGACCTCCCTTTTCCCTCATAAGCAACTCGGTACATTAACCAAACAAAGAAAACCAGAACACTTCCCCCAAATCGGGGATTTGAGGAAGCTCCAGTGACCTCTGTTGATGCCCTTCATTGTTTTGTTTTTTTTTGCGAGCCCGGAGTCGACTTTGAGGGCGCCCAAAAGAAAGACGGGTATCAGAACTGATGCTGATCCAAAATCAATCAAGCCCGGTTTATTCATAGGGGGGTGTCCATTTCTGGGTTTTGTGGGGAATCAGATCACCTTTGGAGGGGAACACCTATTAATATGGGGTCAGAACAACATTTGTTTTCTTCGCTCTTTGCATGTTGTGAGGGAAAGCTTGACATATGAAATTATAGTCATAGTTTTGGTTTGTCATCGCAACGGGCCCATTTTAGACTTAAACCCAGAGTTTTGGCTTCCGTTTTCCGATCCCAAAATGTATTTTATATACTTCCATTTGCTTACCCAAAGGGTCGAAGTGCATTCTAAGGAGGTACTTGGACCCTTTTTCACCCCCCAAAAGCCGTCCTCAGAAGATTGGTTTTTGTGATTGTCCAACCTATTGGTTGTATTCCAGGAAACATTTGTTTGGAAGGATAGACTCTACCTAGACTCTCCATGACCCCTAGAAAAAAGAGTCATAACCCCTTCATTTAGGGTAATGACCCCATCTTTAAAGGGTCATGCAGACTCCAGGTACTTGAAAAAGACTCAGACAAAATGAGCGTCACATTTTGGGGCCCAGTTTTGGAACTAGGTCCCCCAGCTAGGTGCCAACTGTTACCGTTTCTTTTTTGGTTAGGAGGGTTCCCCTGCTAAAATAGACAGTACCCTCATTCTAACCTCAAACTAGGGGAGGACCCAGGATTTGACCTAAGCCTTAAAAAGAGAACGGAACTCACCCACATACGCCTTTAAGGTCCTGGGGCTTATTGGGCTCTCCCCCCCTCCCTCAGCCCCCTCCCCCCCCCTCCCCCCCCCCTACTGGAGGACCAGGGCTTGACGCTTGGACCCGTGGGTTGCGGGTCGTAACTCGTTGCAGGCGGACTGGCACGAAGCCTCCGAGCGCCGGAAGAAGGCGGAGGAGGAGAGCCACGGCTCACTTTCGGCTTCGACTCGACTAGGTCCCCCAGCTAGGTGCCAACTGTTACCGTTTCTTTTTTGGGGGAGGGTTCCCCTACTAAAATAGACAGAAACAAGTTGGTACCCTTATTCTGACCACGAACTACTGGGGGACCTAGTCGAGATCTGATGCTTCCATTTGCTTGTTGGGGGTTCAGCCATCCAGACACTCTTGTAGGTGAAGCGTGATGCTGTGGACGAAATCCTGCAGCACTTCGAAACCAAGGTTCAAAGCATTGTCTAACATTTGGTTAAGAACTTTTGTTTGAAATATTCCCCTGTTGGTTTTAAAGTGAATTTGTCACTACTGGAATCTCTCTGTTTTCTTTTTTTTCAGGGGGCTTAAGCAAATGGAGGGATGTGAACATGTTTGTTGGCAGCCATGTTCAAAAAAATGGAAAAGGAAGCGGAATCTACGACTTGCCCAAACCTGACCCAACAGACTGGCTTTTTGGGGGGTTGATTCCCCATTTTTTTTCTCAGCCATCGTTCTTCAAAAAACCGGTCGCCATTTCCCCAGGGTTTTTGGTGGTTTTCTAGAAAGATTCGGCTCCCTGGAAGGAATGGAAGTGGAAGTTACCCCATGCTCAGTGGCCCCAAAAGGTTAACCTTTCGTTTCGTCCTTTGGGCAACTGGGTAGCTCGGCAGCAGTTCGCGGAATCCGGTCGTTGGATTCCGGATCCGAATGGGCCTACCTTTCTCCAGGGTTGTAGTTATTTCTTTGGCGAAACAAACGGCTCGCGGGGGTTCACTACTCCACTGTGGTTGGCATGTTTTTTGGCTTTTTGTTTTTCGAGGTTCTGTTAATGTTTAGCAGCGGGGCTGCAAAGCAACAACGTTTTTCGCTACCATACCACGGGTTGGAAAGTTCATGGACTTTATTTTTTGTTTGGACAGAAGAGGCTTGCAAAAAGTCCGGTAATGTTTTTGTTGGTTGCCATCAATCGCAAGTGAGAAAAGCCAACATGGAGGTCGAAAGACTGGTTTGCGGGTGGAAAAAGAACCGTTTGCCCAATTGGAAAACCACCTCTGAACTTGCTAGCGGAAGGGAGCCGTTACGGAGCTGGGGGTGTCTCTAAATGTGCTTTTAACATTCGAGCGCCGGACTCGGTGCTGCCGGTCTAGTGAGTCTGGACTCAAAAGAGTGTGTATCTTTTTAAGAGTCGGACTTCCCAATGTGTCTTCGGTTTTGCCTTTCGGTTTCCACCAAAAATGGGTACCTGGAGTCTCCATGACCCCTAGAAAAAGGGGTGAGTCATAACCCCTTAATTTTGGGTAGTGACCCCATGTTTAAAGGGTCGTGGAGACTCCAGGTGCCCTCAACAAGACGCATGGCATTTCTTGTCTTGTCAAGTGCCCTCCCTCCAAGAACGGAAGCTGAGGGAAATGTCCACTTCCAAGCGAGCGCTGGAAAGAGAGTATGCACTAGGCCCCCCAGTAGTGCCCAGTCTCACCCCTTTTTTGGGAGGGTTCCCTACTAAAATAGACTACGTAAAAAAGTTGGTACCCTTTTTCTAATCGCTACTGGAGGACCTAGTACATGCCCGAAACCGACCTCTTGACCCTTTAGCCACTTAGGCTCTCACTGCGCAGATTGAAACGAGCTCACTGGGGGCAAAGCAAGATCTACGGATGGATGGGTGTGTGTGTGTGTGTGTGCTTGCCGTGGAACACTGACGAGCCCGTTCCAGGGCCGGGACGCCTTCGTAGGTGTTTCCTAGACTTTTTGGATCCGAAAAGCTTGGGTCTACTTTCAACTTTCCCAGTGGATCCCGGGCAAACCCCATAGGTAACCCTTTCGCAATATTTTCCTTTAAAGGGAGCCCTTGGTTTATCCAAAAAACTGAAATCGGGTTTGGAAACGAGGAATCCTGTGGCTGTGGGTGCCCCCCGTTGGGGGCCCCCGAAAGGAAAGAGAAGGTTCGAACGCTGGGTTTCCACCCATTTTTCTCCAGGGGCGTTGACAGGGACACTAGGTCCCCCAGCTAGGTGCCCTTTCTCTGGGGGAGGGTTCCCCTACCTAAAGCAGACTACAGGAAAAAAAGGTATCCTCACCCAGCCAGTGGACACACTTTATATACACTTTTTTCCTTGGTGGCCCTTTATTATTTTAGTGATGGCCCAAAAAGTGTACACGTCTTCTGGCCAAGTGAGTACCCTTATTCTAACCTCTGTACTGGAGGACCTAGGACAGGTTCTCCATGCGGTTGCAACCATGTTTCAAAAGAACTGCAGTACAAATGGGCTTCCGGGGTTGTTGGGGATACCAATTCGGGCTATGAGCGTGTCTTAAAAAAGGGGACGCCAATAAAGCGCAACGGTTTCCTTCTGGTCTCTCTGCAAAACCACGCCAAAACAGACACAAGCTCCAAAAGCAACCCTTTGCATTGTGCGGTTGTCTCAAAATTGGGGACGCCCCAAATGGTATGTGCCAGACGCCCATTTGCCCTAGAGTTCAAACCACCATTAAAACCAGGGGGGTGAACGTAATCAGCATTTTTTTCCCGAGGAGTAACTCCTCATTCCAAATTGGGTCCCCATTGGGGGCCATTCTTTTACTGGCGAATCAGAACCCTTAGGGTCCGGTTTGGTCGGTTCTCAGCGGAAACAAACTAGCCCAGCTAGGTGCCCTTTTACCGCTTCTTTTGGTGGAGGGCTTCCCTACTAAAATAGACTACAGAAAACACAACAAATCAGTTGGTACCCTTGCTCTAACCTCTCTACTGGAGGACCTCGTCTGGCTTTAGTGGGGCATTCATCACTTTTAGAGGGGAGCCACCCCCCTCAAAGCAACCAGGGGTTAATTCATATGGGACCTCATGGAACTAACCCAAATAAGCCCTAGAAGCCCTTCTGGAGCTTCTTGGGCTCTCCCCCTCCCCCTCTACGGGAGGACCCTAAATCGGGTCTGGAAACTTGGACAACCTGCGGTCCAATTCCTTGAATTTTGACCAGCCATAGAACCACCAGTCCCATTCTTTAAACGGTTGCTGAACCCTATCCTAAGATGGAACCCCCCAAAATGGCACCTCAACATGGAAGCCTAGGAAATTGAAGGACCTAGCAAATGACCCACACCCATGCCTGCCTGGAGTCTCCCTAAGGACCCTTAAAAAATGGTTGGTCGTTGGTCCCCAAGCAGACGCCGTTTTGTTTTTTTCCAACGCCCATGGAGCAACTCGGCCGCGATCGAGGAGCTGGCCGAGGTGAAGGGCCGGCAGGTGGAGTCGGCCTGGGGGCCGAGCGAAGGGAAACCACGGCTTTTCGGACGAGGTTGCAGCGTGCACTTGCGCTGTACCTAGAGTCTCCTTCTGACCCCTCGAAAAAGGGGCAGTACACCCTGAATTTGGGGTGATGGCCAATTTTTAAGGGGTCGTGGGGACTCCAGGTACATGGTTTTCTGAGGGAACCGTGAACTTCTGGATATTTTTTTTAGCATTTCGTGAGTTGTTGTTGTAGTTAAGCCAGGACTAGCCGTGAGTTCACCATAAACCGGGGGTTCATAGGGGAGATTGACAAATACGAGGTTGAAGCGTTCACTTCTGGCGCTTTACATGGGTTTTCTTCAGGAATCCAAACAACTGTTGTTTGTTACTCGTGAGTTGTTGTTGTAGTTAAGCCAGAACTAGCCGTGAGCTCACCATAAACTAGGGGTTCATGGGGGAGATTGACAGATTTGCATTTAGCCCTTGTGAAACCCGGAACTCGACGGTTGCACCTCTTCATTTTTGTTTTGGTTCGGGGCTGGCAACCCTGGGTGTGTCATTGACACACCGGCGAGTTTGAATCGGATTTGACGGATTTGTTTTGGTTCTCCTGCTTTGGGCACCATTTTCCGTGGCACAAGGCGGGACCTGTTTTTTTCGGGTCCAAACTGAGAAGGTTTGTTGAGTTGGGTCTTGCCCTACCCAAAAAAAGCGCAAAGAACCTGACAGGTGGACCATGGTCCTTTTAACTAAAGGGACCGGGCCCGGTCTTAAACAGGGCGCTTGAGGGGTTGGTACCAAGGTCGAGAAAGGTTCTGCGTGAAAAGGGTTTAGGGTTTCGGGTTCTTAGGTGGGGTTTCTACTGTTTGGTGTTTTTAGGGTTCAGGGTTGAGGTTTTCCACGGCTTAGGATTTTAGAGTTTAGTTGTAGGGTTTTCAGGGTAGGCTACTCAGAGGGCGCTTGGTGGTATCGAGGCGGTGAAGCTGACGGCCGCGCAGCGCCGGGAGTGCCCTCGCAACGTAGGAAAAGCCGAATCAAGTTGGGGGAATTTGCCCGCTTGGAGGGTACCGACTTGGGGTGGTGTAAGGGCGTAGACCGCTTTGTCAACAGATTCCTTTTTTTGGGGGGTGGGTTCCTTCCATTTGGTGAAGTTAAGAAAATTTTGTTTATTGCCCCTGTTGGTTTTAAAGGGAATCTATCACTACTGAGGTTTTGCCATTTTTCCAGGGGGCCCAAGCAAATGGAGGGTTCTGTTTGAGGGCCCTCTGGGTCCGGCAGGCCTTATTTGGCTTGGAGATTCGGATTTGAGCTTCTTGTGGAGGGCAAATGGGAAGCCACTCTCTAACTTCCAAACCACCAATCCAAGCCAGCCTTTTCCAGGGTAGCTGACTTGGGGGTGGCTTTGGAAGTTGCTTGCCACCAGGGTGTTACCCACATTTCTTGGAGGTACAAACTGGTTTTGTCGGCCATTTGCTTGGAGCCTTAGACTGTTTGACATCGTTGGGAACAGGAATGAGTGTTGTTTCCCACTAAACAGCAGTTAACAAGCTAAAACACGTCCACTAATAGCTATGAACTTTGCACAGGTCTGTCCGAAAGTGATTTATCGTATTCCGAAAGGCTCCTTTCCATGCTTGTCACTGGGAGTGCATTTGCAACTCACGATTTCTTGCCGAACTATATCCTTGCTTTAGTTATCTTAATTTTCAAAATCCATTCAAGTCAGTATACTTGGTAGAAGATCCACCCCGAGTGACCGGGAAAGAGACCAACCAACTGTCTCGTTCATCTCTTCGCTATCTCTTAACTCGATCTCTGAGAGACGGAAGGGACTTGGAGAGGGAACAGAGATGACTTCTATAGTCCATTACCTTTCTATTCTTGGGATTCTTAAAGATGAAAACAATCACACATGAACACCAAGAAAAAGTCAAGGGACATGTGTCTATTGGTCACCCCACCACCATAGGTTAACTCCTGGAAATTAGAACGAAGAGAAAGGGAATTATATTGCTATAATCATGATTTTTGTATGTCTACAATATAAGATTTCCTATGCTTTTCCTTACCTTTTTTGACGTCTCTTTTGCATTCATCTCTAATTCCTTCACCAATGTACACATTCTCATAAAAATCCAGAAGTCACTACAGCGAGTAGAGAGTTGGAGAAACAAAGAAGTCATTAATTTTCTTCCTTCCTCTTCTACCTTCTCTTTATCTCTTTAACTTTCATATGTTGACCAAATGATAGACGGAAAGCGGGAGATATGAACAGTGGATAGACGTCTTTTTGCTACCTTCGGTCCCTTTCTTTCTTCTCTTTAGCAGCTCTAATATAATCTCTAAATTAATGAGTTGTAACAGGGGTTCGTCCTTTCCCAACGGTTCAACTGGTGAAGGATTCGAAGGGTGAGATAACGGATTAGAGTGAAGAGGCGTGACGTGGTAAGCGGGAGGAAGGAGCGGATATCATGTTGGAGCTCGCCTCGTTACAAACTAACTCTACAAAGATTCCCAAGAGCTTGACTTTGGTGCATTTTGCTTGGCTGTTAAGACTTTAACTTTTTGCCAACTAATGGGTTTTCCACTAAACCACTAAAAGTTAGGGGAGCAGAAAGCAACCGAGTTGACTAAGGGTTTCTCGCCAACAACTTCTCATCCTGGCCTGCCTTCTCCCTGGCCTCGCGTTTTTTTTTCCCCTCAGCGAGGAAGGAAGTGGATAAGGAAAAATATGAATGCTATCTCTCTCTTCATACCATGCTGTTCATCACGTTGTCCATGAAATCCTACAGAGTCGAACAGGATGGAATGAGATGAAAGGGAAGGCTAGGCCTGATATTAATTGGCGTTCTTTTTACCTTTCTATCATCGCCTTTCCGTGAAGTAGGTAATAAGGAAAGGAAAGGCAGTTATTAATCAAGCCTCAGAAATTGAGTCATCCTTTACGAGGAAGCCAACGGGGCAATAAGACCCACCTTCCCTTTCCTGTTCCTCCAACTCCCCAAGCCTCATCAAGAGACAGGTAAGAGTGGGTAAAGAGTTGGGAAGGAGAGAGAACAAGGAAGAGGATATGGACAGAGAGTGAGAGATGCGAGAAGGTAGAGAGAAAGGAATTCACCTTTTATTGTCACTATTATTCTTCAAAATATCCTAAATAAAGATAATTCTGGCATCGTTTATCTTCTTTTATATTTCTATCTAACCCCTAAAAACCCTCAAAACCCTAAACCTAAACCCTACAAAACGTAAGCCTAAACCTTAACACCCCAAACCTAAACCCTAACAACCCTAATCCAAAACCCCAAAAAACTCCAAACCTAAACCCTGAAGACCCTAAACCTAAACCCTAAGAACCCTAAACCTGCCAGCACGATCATACAGCATAATAAGACCTTGTGGGCGACACGTATGTTTTGTGGGTAGGTTTACAACCTCATTCTTCACTGGTCTTGGCATGATTTGTTTTGTGTTTTTTGCTTTTCGTTTTTTTCTGTTCATTTTTACTGGGCTGCAGAAAAAAACAATGTGTGTGTTGCAAGCGAATACCAAGAGTTGTAGAGTTGGTTTGGGGTTTTGAGGCACTGGTCCCTGTCTAAGCCCCCCAGTAGTGCCCTTGCACCAACTTTTTTTTGGGAAGGGTCCCCTCCTAAAATAGACACCAGAAAAAAGGGTACCAACTCTCCGAACCTCTCTACTGGAGGACCTAGTTGTGGCTGGTGCGTGGGAAACGCCTCCTTAACCTCCAAAGATCTAGGGTTTGATTCCCCATTCTCACCTCAACAACACACTGTTGTCAACCTGGGTTTTGGATGGTTTCCTGAAAAGGTTTGGATCCCTGGAAAGAATGGACATGGAAGCTTCCCCTACAAAAGAGGTACTTCCATTTGGTTACTAATATTTTGTTTACTTCACCACTGGTACCTTGTTTTCTTTTTTGTCAAGGGACTTCTCAGCAAATGGAGAGGTATGCAGCCTGCAAATTCGCCAGGTACGAGCAGGCGGTCCAGAAGACCGAGCAGCTGAACACCAAAGCCCGCGACAAGCTTCGGGAGGCCATTGGACCAGTCTTTTTTTGCGGCAGTCGACTGGTTTGACTCATGACCCGCGCATGGAGGACTCCCAAATGTTTAGAGCTTCCGTTTGCTGAAAGGAAGACATTATTTTTACTTCCCTTGGTTTTGAACGGAGTTAGTCACTACTGGAAACGTCTTAACCAAATGGCAGAGAGGGTTTAAAAGGGACACCACCAGGAAGCAAGCTGTTCAGATAACCCTTGGTGGTTTGGATTTGTTTTAGGAATCGGACCGGTTTCGCGCCAAAATTGCTTAGGTTTTTTTGGGCTTCGCTTAAGCTCCGGGGGCCTTGGATGGCTTTCTCACTAGCGAGGCTTTGGAGCCCCTTTCGACTTCCCATGAGTCATACCTGGAGTCTCCTTGGAGGCCCAATTGATACAGAAAAAAGTGCTCAATTGCATTTTCGGAGTTCGAACTTTATTTTCTGTATCTGGGCCTCCAGGTCCACGACCATTTAAAAACGGCTGGTCCTTACCCAAAATAAAGAGGTCATGGACCCATTTTTATTTCGGGTCATGGAGACTCCAGGCAGCCCCAAGGTTCAGCTTTTATTTCTGGGTTGGGCATCTCAGGTGGTCATGGCGAATTTCCTTTCGGAGTGAGATGTAAGTAAACCGGGTGGATTGAGTATGCAGCAGAATGACAATTTTCTGTTTGTTCGGAACACGTTGTCCAAAAGTCTGTGGAAGCGTTCGTCACGGCCGCGTCTTCATTGTCGGTCCGCGTTGTGGCCTACCTTTTAAGGCGGAGACCTCCCCCCCCGAAAGAAACCTGCAGACCAAAAGGGAAGTCCAGCACATGGTTTGTCCCCAGGTACATAGGATCGTGAGAGTACCATTTCACCATTCGCCACTGCCGTTTTTTGGGTGCAGAGCAAGTTCCTACCAATCGGTAGCTGGTCAAAAGGACAGCCATGGCAAGGACGATTTGGGTGCAACAGCTGTCTGGGAAAGCCGACACGTTTCCATTGTCGACCGACATGACTGTCCGCGAGTTCAAAAGGAAGCTGCACGGATGGCTACCCTGCGAAGATGAGTCGAAGCGCAACATGAGCTCCGTTGGGGTGGTGGTAGGAGACAGGCCTCTTTTGAACAACCAGGAGATGCTGTCAAAAGCAACTGCAGGTGCAGAAGTCTTGGCTTTCCTCAGCATTCTGCCAGTCACATGCTCCAGCTCCCGTGCTGCCGGCTGCGAGCTCGAAGATTTGCGTGAAGTGAAGATTTCAGAGGGAGAAGATCGGGTTAGATCGTATGCGTTCCACCGCTGTAGCTCGCTGGCAAGTGTGACCATCCCCGACTCCGTGACTCACATTGGGTATAGTGCCTTCTTAGGCTGCAGCTTGTTGGCAAGCGTGATTATCCCCGACTCCGTCACCCAGATTGAGAAAAGTGCCTTCCGAGATTGCAGCTCATTGGCGAGCGTCAAGATCCCCGGCTCCGTCACTTGCATTGGAGGAAGTGCCTTTGAAGGATGTAGTTCTTTGGCAAGCGTGAACATCCCCGACTCCGTCACCCAGATCGAAAAAAGAGCCTTCCAAGGTTGCAGCTCATTGGCCAGCGTCAACATCCCCGACTCCGTCACTTGCATTGGAGAAAGTGGCTTTAAAGACTGCACCTCGCTAACAAGTGTGACTATCCCCAGCTCCGTCACTTGGATTGGAGTAAGTGCCTTTGAAAACTGCAGCTCACTGGCAAGCGTGAACATTCCCGACTCCGTCACTCGGATTGTAAGAAGTTCCTTCCGAGGTTGCAGCTCACTAACAAGTGTGACTATCCCCAGCTCCGTCACTTGGATTGGAGAAAGTGCCTTTGAAAACTGCAGCTCACTGGCAAGCGTGAACATCCCTGACTCCGTCACTCGGATTGTAAAGAGTTCCTTCCGAGATTGCAGCTCATTGGCCAGCCTCAACATCCCCGGCTCCGTGATTTGGATTGAAAACTGCGACTGGCTGGTGTGCCCATCCCCGACTTCGTGACTGAGATTGACAGAATGCCTTCTTCGGCTGCCCGTCAACAAGCATGACCATCCAGGGTTTTGTTTGTGGGATTCAGCGCGATGCATTCTGCGGCTCATTGCAAAGAGGGTTGGCGTGGCCGGATGGGCAGCTGTAGGATGGGCATCTGACTGAGAGCGACCTCAACTCTGGCCGCCGCGATCTGATCATCTTGAGCGCTGCCCATTGAGGATACATTCGCTGGGGTGCATTCGCGTCTTTGAGGAAAGAACGAGCAGTGATGCCAGCGACAAGCGACGGGCAAGTTTGACAGGCAACGAAGGGGATTAGAAGGGGCCACGCTTTCCAACACCCTCAATCATGTACATACATGTTTAGAGAATGGTAATACATATATACTTATACGCACCTATGTGACCGCCTATGTGGTATTTTTATGTATATATATATATATACATATATGCACACATTCCGATACATTGGGTTGGTACCCCGGCTCAAAGAGGTAACATCATTTCTCATGGTTATGACTAATTTCGGTTACCTCAAGCCCCATTCCAACGTTTTGGACCACTATATTGCCTCACGAAGAACCAACGGAATATTCCAAATCGGAGAAAACCATGTAAAACAATAAGAAGGCAAGAGAAAGGATACTGTCAAAGCAGTAGTAGAGAAAGGATGGGGTGCTTTTACACAAGCCCATTTGCAACCAGAGCGAAACCTTTTTGGTTCCATTTTTGGGGTTCCCATGTTTAGTGGGTCCAACAAATGATCGTCTTCGGTCCCTTGAGAATTGCTGATTGAGTGGGAGCACGCTGACGCACGGTCCGAGCAATGTCCGAGCCATGTTGGGAGCGCGCCACAAAAACGAAAGGTTCGGTATCCCGTGTTGTTTTCGTCCCATCTCAGATTGCGGATCAGGAAGGAGGGGTGCCACTCCCGCGAAAGTGACTCCATTTCTCTTCCCAAACTCCCATGGCTCCGCTTTAAGCCACTAGGGGTCCATTCATCCGAGTGAACAAATCGCATATTTTTGTTCAGACCAGCACCTTGGTTTCAGGGTCGCCTTTGCAGAATGTATTGGTCGGTTTTCGGATCTGAGAACTGGGTCCGGCCATAAGCGCCCCACCGCGTTCTTGGACGGTTAACCGATAGCGAACTACATTGGAACCCTGGCCCAGCGCTTCCAGTTTCCAGCTTGTTGCGCAGTTTTTAGGGGAACGCCCAGGTTTTCCCGGGTTTTTCCCGGGTTAAATTAGCTGCGCTCGGGGGCTCGGCTGTAGCAGGCCGAGGAGAAGCTGCGGCGCATTGCGCAGGAGGTGAAGATCAGCAAGGAGGAGACGTGACGGGACGGATGGACGAATCCCTTTCGCAGCACCGAAGAAACCATTTTTTGACACCAGGTGATGGAGTTTCGTCAAACTAGGTCAACTGATTCTGGGAGGATTTCTACTGATGGACGAAATCCTGCGCCATGTTGAAACCATGGTTGAAACCAGAAGGTTTGTTGGTATTTACAGGGAATCAGACCATTCCAGGGCTTCTTAGGTGGTGCGAAATGGATTTCGTCCATCCACAGTAGGATGAGACTTGGTGTTCGGGGTTCCAACTCATTGCCTGTTATTCTTTTTTGGTGCTCTTGATGCGGGGGATGTCCCGCGCAGGAGGGAATCCTTTACTTGTTGGAGAACCTACCAAGCCACCAAGTTAGTCTGTTTCCCCGGTTCCCGTGCCTGTTTAATTCTTTTTTGGTTGGGAGGGTTCCCCTAAAATAGACAGAAAAAAGTGGGTAGCAACTTGTTCTAACCTCAAACTACTGAAGGACCTAGTTGTCGTATTTTGTTATTCTCCCTTGTTGGTTTTAAAAGGAATTTATCACTCTACTGGATTGTTTTTCCCAATTTGCTTGGAAACATAACCTTCTCCGAAACGGCGCATTTTGGGTTCTTTGCGATGTCACCCATGATGAAGGCTTGTCTCGTAGGGATCTAATTCTCTGTGAATTAGTTCCATTTGGTTAAGTTTTTTCTATTTTCCCTTGTTGGTTTTAAAAGGCATTTATCACTACCGGACAAATTTTGCCCAGGGGTCTTAACCAAATGGAAGTTCCCTGAGAACCAGCAAGTAGCAGTGACTGGTGACTGCTGCTGCTAGTGACGAGAGGAGCCGCTCAAACGAAAACATGTTCCTTGCGATTGGCCGCAGGGGACTCCGTAAGATTTTGTTTGAAGGAGGCTAACAGGCGAGAAGGTTTTCGGGAGTTTCCCCGATTGCTGGTTTGTTTCACTAGTCCTCCATTCGCAGTTCAATTTTCTGTGATTTTCCCTGGTTGGTTTTGCAGGGGGTGGATTTCTCTACTGGAATCTTCAAAGGGCATCTATCACTGCAGCGTGTGTGTGTGTGTGTGTGTGGGTGCGTGCGTGCGTGCGTGCGCGTGCGTGCGTGCGTGCGTGCATGCGTGCGTGTGCGTGCGTGTGGCGTGGGTGGGTGGGTGGGTGGGTGGGTGGGTGGGTGGTGTGGGTGGGTGGGTGTGTGTGTGTGTGTGTGTGTGTGTGTGTGTGTGTGTGTGTGTGTGTGTGTGTGTGTGTGTGTGTCTGTGTGTGTGTGTCTGTGTGTGTGTGTGTCTGTGTGTGTGTTTTTCCCCTGGGCGCTCAGTCAAATCTTTGTGGCCTGAAATCTTGGCGATTCTCAGCGAATCGTCCGGTTCCTTCGGATTGCTTAGGTTTTCATAGTTGGCTTTATTGGGTTTAGTGGTAGTTTCCGCTTGACCCACAAAACCCTCTTCAAACCAGGTATGGGATTCTTGACAGTGATTATAGAATGGTTAGCGGGTAGTTCCCAGATCACCTGGGCAAGTGAGGCAACGGCCCTCAAAGCGGCTTTTTTGAGATCCAGAACTGATCAGAGCGCCACCAAAGGGGAGCGAGAGGGGGAAGTGCGTCGAAAACAAGAGACAACAATTTCACCCCACTCCCTCTCCCTGTGGATCCCAGTTACCGCTATAGTAGGCAACCAGCCATTGTCCTTTTAGTTTGTAAAGGGTGGTTCCCTTGCTCACCTACTATACAGGTAAATGGGTCCACTCGCCGCTTCCCTGTTCCTACCCGGGGAAAAACATGGGTCCCAAGAGCGTCTGTTTTTGAGGTACACCTAGCTTCAACCTGGGCAACACTCTCCGGTTCCCATGATTTACTCTGTTTTTCTTCTGGTTTTCTTCAGGTGATCACCCTTTTCGGTCCAAACGCTGTCCGGAATTCCGCCTGAAACATGGCAAACCCTAAACCCTAAACCTTGCACTGTCCGGAACCCCGTGTTTTTTTCGGCTCGCCTCAACCGAGAGGACCTTCGGGAACGAGAGGAGAAGCGAAAACGCCTCGCCGGAAAGCTGGAGGAGCCGAGCTGAGAGCGTCTGAGAACATGTGGCCGTGGCTCAAAAAACAAAAGGAACTCCAAAACGGGTTGTGGGTTCAGTGGAATGGACAAAAAAAACCTGCGGTTTAAGCCACCACTCTTTCGAATTTTGAGCCACACTGTTGTCCCTTGGCACCCTGGACATTTGGATGATGAGTTACTCCTGAACGGTGAAGAATGGCTTTGTTTGACAGGTGGTTTTGAGCTCCAGGGTTGTATTTATGTGTTTTTTTGTTTTTTTTTTTAAAGAAACCTACCACTACTGGAAGATATATTTTGTTTGCAGGACTTAAGCAGATGGAGGTCAGGTAATCCTGAATTGGTGGGTTTGGATCGGTGGTTCGAGGATGTCTTCTCCAAAGCTACATTGTACTTTGGAATAAAGAGCAGAAGTGAAACATATGCCCGGGGTTCAAACCACCAATAGCCCAAAGGGGGTTAGTACAACCACCAGAATTATCCTAAGGAGTTTCATCACCCAAATTGGGTCAACGATTCTTTTAGAGGGGAAAGGATACCAGCTAGGGACCATGAAACCATCACACCTTCGGCTGATTTCGAGGGTTTCCTTGTAAAGCAGCTCATTGTTGGATGTTCCCTGTATGATACGCCGTTCCTGTTGCTTGGTAAATAACCGGAAGTCATCATGTACCATGAATCGGAAGCCCTGGTTGCCTTCTAATCATTCCCAAAGTCTTCCAACGGCTGTATGGGTCTGCATGAAAATCGGGATCTCGACCCTGTAAGACGACGGTTTGTCCTGTTCATTTCCCTGTTATACCAACCGAAAAATGCTACCCTCGACATAGAGCACAAAAAGGCCTTTGCTCCAATTACCATTCCATTCCCAGTGCTTCCTGTTCGCTTTGAAGCCATATCAAACCATAGTTTGTTGGTGTTTACAGGGGAATCATCAGCAACCAGGGTTTCGGAACGGTGCCATATACCACTAGGAAGTAGTCCAAAGAAAGCCATCATGTACATACTTCCTGAGTTGCTAGTCATTTTTTTGCTGGAGCAAGTTTTGGTGGCAAGCAAATAGTTCAGACTTGTTGTTTGCCCACCAACCCAGGAAATGACAAACACTCGGTTTCCTATTATTGCAGTGGTAGCTCCCACCGCTGCCATTGGTAAAACCTAGAACTCTTGCAGGGATCCGACTGGGATTCAGAACATGGCCAATTCTCGGAACATTGGCGGGTTCTGAAAATAATGAGTGAATATATTGTTTGGGCCCATTATTTTGAATGTTTCTTTAGGGGGTAGTGTTGACCCCCATAGTGATCAAGCCCAGTTTGTTGATAGGGGGGGTCGGGGCCCCTCCAAGAGTGATGGTGTTCCTCACAAAACCCAAGGATGCTTCATATAAAAAACTTGGGGTTGATTAATATGGGGTCAACGTTGTCGCAATTAGAAAGTGGGGTTGTTTCCCTTTGACCTACCACTGAACAGGGGTGACTTTGATAACTGTAGAATAATGGATTCAGACTCCAGACGGGTGGTTGCCTGGGCTTCAACCTTACAAAAGGAATGACCGTGGGACCTAACTTGTATCATGAAGCTGAAGAGGTATGTACTTGTGCTCACATTAACGCAACAAATGTTTTGGTGGTGGTTTGAGGTCTCCCCGAGAAAGGGGGGTCGTTTCCAGTGCGTGCAAATGCCCAAAGAAAGTCGCAAACAAGGTGAGACTGATGCTGGGGTGTTTCTTTCGTAAGTCGTGCCAGCATTTCAGCATGACCTACGGGGGAAAAGGGAAGCAGCGCTACCTTTGATTCAATCAATGATGTCCCGCCATTGGAATTACAAACCACCATGCTCTTTTTCACTTACTCTCTCACCTCAAACAGCTTTCACACACAAAAACACACAGCAGGGGGTGGATGGGTGGATGGCTACTCGGCCACGCCGAGTGCCAGGCCTCACGTATTTGACCCCTTGGGATCACCGTTCCCGAGCTTTAGTCCCATTGGTAACATAGCCTAAGCATTTCTTTGGTGCATGTTGCCAAAGGATGTTAGGACTTTAACTTTTTGCCAACCAATGGGTTTTCCGTATGAAACCACTAAAAGTTAGTCACTTTTTGCAGGGGAGCAGAAAGCAACCGAGGGAAGTGGCTTCATGGTAAAAACAACAGACAACATGGCGACGTGTTAGGGCTCTACTGGCTTGCGTTGGAACTCACTGAGATTGATACATGTTTAGCTCGCTGCCTTTGCTGTCTGTTTAGGATCCTTCGCTTGATTTGGGTTGGGTCAAAAATGGGAACCCCAAATGGAACCCTAGTAAATGGAAACAGGGACTAAAACCTGCGGTCCCCTGGTGGTTTAATTGTGACCCATATCCATTTGGAGACAACGACAACTCGGAAAGACAACGAGAATGACAATGTTTGGAGATTAGCATGGGCGAAGATTAGGCAAACCTTTCCGAAGATCATGATGGGTGAAGAGAACGGGGCTTCAACCCTTGGAACAAGCATTGTTGGGGCCACCTGGGTCTTTAGAGCTACTAAAACCAACCCAACACCTGATCTTTCAACTTTAATTTCCTGCTCACAGGAGGAGACTGTTGGATGCCAGGGCTGGATCAGTTCATGGAACATGGATTCCACTGGTTTCAGGTTGGATCAACACGTATGCCAGGTCCATCTAATCAGCCAAAAGGTGGCAAAATCCCGGCTGGGCACAGAGTTGCTGGACCCCTTGTTTATCATCACCTCCATGCCCTCCCAAAAGCGCTCCCGACAAGCGAGTGCGGATGAGAGTGAGTTTTCTTTTCAGTGGGTGCTGCTTTCAATGGTCCAAGGGTGCTTTGCCACGAGCGTGTTTTTCGTGGCGTCGCCCGAGTGAAAAGGATTTTATGGCCTTCGTCCATTGTGCATGTGTAAAGATCAATGCATTTCCCAAATGGACCCCCTAAGCTGAATGTCCTGCTTTCCGCCTGATCTCAGAAGGCCAAAAAGGGAATGAGGTTTCCATTCTCTCCATTTACCCAGCTGCCCAGTGGTGCCATTCTTTCATTTTTTTTTGGAAAGGGTTCCCCTTTAACTCAACCAACCAACCAAGGATGCCGATTCTTTCTTTTCCCCTGGAACTCCACTGGGGCAATCTCAGTTTAGAGCCAAATTCACCGTCCAAATCCACCGTCAAAGCCCTTCAGGACACCTAAACCGCGAAACCGCGCCCATCGCACGCAAAACCCATCGCGCGCGCCCGCGGGCCCGCGCGCGGGGTGGCCGGCCGCGAGGACCACAGCCGGGAGAAGACGGACCTGGAGATCTCGCTGGACACCAGCCGCATCGAGGTCGAGCAGACCAAGAGGCGCGCGTTTTTTTTTTTCCTTCCCGCGTGGCGGTGCCGAAGCAACGAAGTGCAGAGGTGATTCTTCACCACAACTTCTTAGTGCTTTTGGCATGTTGTTTCTCTGTTTGTTTGTTTTTTGTTTGGATTGGTTTGTTTTTTAGATTCGGGGGCTGCAAAAACAAAGTTTGTTGCTACCATACCAAGAGTAGAGATGAAATTGTGATTCCCAACTTCTTACTGAGTTAAACAACGAGTATGTCAGCTAAACATGGCTCTTGTTCTTGTTCTTGTTGAGGCGGGCGAAACGTGCGTGGTGGCGACAACGGTGGTCGCGTTTCGGATTTGGTTTGGAACCGACAAAGTGTTGCTTCACGAAAAAGTGGGTTGTACCTAACAACGCAAAGGCCGCTCAACTCAGAAACTGAAAGTTCAGCTCGCAGGAAGAACCAAGGCACAGGTGATGTCTAAAGGCTTACAACCAACCAAAGCTGTACCGGGATTTCTTTGACATGATGTTATGATTGAATTCGAGTTAAGTTTGAGGTTTACAACATCTGAACCAGCATCCAACATGTTTGTTTGAGTGGGGGGCAACGGGCTGACGAAAAGGGCTTCAGATCGGCAGGCAAATCTCGCACCTGGAGGAGGAGGTCAAAACCTTCGGATCCTTCCGGGAGTCCCTCATCGAGGAGACTGCGATTCGGTTGTCCGGGCTGGTGGATTTGGTTGGGCTTGGGTTGGCTTGGTGGCGAAGCCAGCCATCCGGTTCAACTTAGCTTTTTAGCCCTTTTGGTGTTTAGTGGCTTTCCTTCAAAAACCAAAAAAACATGTAGCCTCAAACAAACTTGGTGGCTCCCAGCCATCCCGTTAGCTTTTTAGCCTTTTAATGGTAGTTTCCGAATTTTAACCAGTAAAAGTTAGTCACTTTTAGCCGGGGATCTGAGGGCAGCCCAGTATTGTTACTGGGGTGACTCGGTCAAATCCCGAACCTGTGTCTTGCTGTCCCAGTTTCCAGACTTCACCTAAGGCGTATTTAGCGTAAGAAATGAGTATGGGGGATCTGAGAGCCCAGGTTGGTGTGGCTTGGGTTGGTTTGGTGTGGCTTGGTTTGCGTTTTTTGTTCGGGGTTTGCTTCGGTGTGGTCTGCTTTCGTGTGGGATGATATGAGATTGCTTAGGTTGGTGTGGTTAGGTTGCTTGCCTCTGTCGGTTTGGTTCGAAGGTTTGGTGTGATTCATGTGTTTCGTTTTGTAGGTTGGTTTGGTTTGGCTAGAGTTAGTTCTATTTGTTTGCGTTGTTTTGGTTTGAGATGTTTGTGCCGGTTGGTTTGGGGTTGGCTGGGTTTGGTTGGCCTGCTTGGTCCTTTTTTGATTGTTTTGCCGGTGTGGTCGCTTTGGTCGGGTAGATGCAGGATAGTAAGCGGCAATCCCAACCAGACATAGGTGAAACATACCTCCCTGCCAATGATTTACGGATTTGTGTAGACCCCACGAGTGCTGATCCCTTGATTGTGACTCGAATGCCTCGGATCTGGGTGGGAGTTTGGTCAATGTCCTGGTGCACTTGCCTGTTCGCTCGTTTCTGTGCCCAACGAATCCTTTTTTGGTTGAGGCTTTTTGGTCCTTGTGAGAACCATTTTTAGAGCCCAGACAAAATGAGGGATTTCTGTTCAAGGTATGGCAATCGCGTCCCCAGAAAGCTGGCTCTGAAAGGGGCAACCCGGCCGAAACCCGGGCCTTATACGGAAAATCCTAGATCCTATGCAAATCCCCTTGCATAAAACCCAAAACGCACCATGGTTGTGGAAGATGGTATTCTAGGTTGCGACTCTCTTTACCGAGATAATTCTCCTGCAGGTGACGGAGTCGTTGGTGCGAAACGAGGTAGGAACACTCCCTTCAACGAGGTAGGGCCATGACATATTGGTGGTTGAGATCAATAATACGTCAATGAGTCCAAACTGGGTTGGAGAACGAGGTTGGAACCCAACCATGAAGCAGATAACTGCCGTAGCTCAGATGGAGAGGAAACATTTTTTGGCATTGCAGGGGTCCGCTGTCTACAACCATGCCAACCAGCCAACCAAACTGCGGCACTTGCTCTATACCAGGAGCACCCGTATGAAACCAATCCCTGCGCACGATTCATGCACCGAATGTCCAGTGCGTAACCCAGTACCCTGCCTGGACTTTGGTTGGATGTCTACCCCTTTCACCAGATCTGTGTTGCAATAAACTGTTTTTGTTTTCTTTTTTTTTTTTTTCCGAATTGGTTGCCCTTTTTGGGGTTGTTTGAAAGGGAAACCCACCAACCACCCGGGAGTTTGGCTAGGTCCCAGTACTGCCCTTTCTCACCGTTTCTTTTTTTGGGGAGGGTTCCCCTACTAAAATAGACTATACAGAGAAAAAGGTTACCAACTTATTCCAACCTCTCTTCTGGTGCTCTTTGACCCTTTTTTGGGGAGGGTTCCCCTACTACAATAGTCTCTACTAAGGGCACCCTTATTCTATCCTCTCCACTGGAGGAGCTGGTTGAATTTTGTAAGTTGTTTTAATGGGAAGCCCACCAAACACCAGTGATTTTGGGTTTGTAACCCGGTCTCCTTGGCCCTTCGTGGGACTTTCAGAAATGGACCGACCCGCGACAGCAGCTGAGCTTGACAGGAGCGCCAGCAGCTGAGCTTTGAGGTGGATTCGGTCAAGGTGGGCATGAAGCTGATGTCTCAAAACAGCGATCCACTGGAGGGATATGTTTCAGCTTTCTCATGCTTAGGTGGTTTGGGTTGGCTTTTGGTTTTAAAGCTTTTCAACAGGCTTTCCAAAATCTGCCCAAAGCGAATCGACCTTTTAATCCCTGTTGGTTTTCCGATTTTGATCCATTTTTAGTCATGGCCCCAAAAGGTTAACCTTTTACTTCTGGGTCCTTTGGGCAACTGAGGATCCAATTTGGGGATTTAATCTTGGTGGTTCCCAGCCATCCGGTTCAACTTAGCCTTTAGCTTTTTGGTGTTGAGTGGTCGTTTCAAAAAAAATAGCCCACTAAAAGTTAAACTTTTGGCGGGATCTGAGGGCAGCCCACTAATGGGGATCAGTCAGTCCCTTGAAAAATTGTCTTTTGGCTTTCCTTTAATTATCAAGAGGAGGTCCATTTTGAGAAACACATGGCTTGAGCACAGGTGTGTGGGGGTGCACTAGGGTCCTCCGGGATGCGGCAAACGAGCAGAACTTCTGCAGTTAAAAACTGGTTGGTCATTACCCAAAATAGAGGGGTTAGAACCCCTTTTTCTAGGGGTCGCGGAGACTCTAGGTACACGCCTACACGCACGCACCCAACTCAAGCGCGAAGAACACATGCCGCACACAGCGAGCACGGCTGGGGACAAATGCTTCGTCCCAGCCGGCGAGTCACATGTGAGCTGACATCATTCACAATCAGTCCTTCGGCCCTGAGGATGGCGTGACTGCGCAAAGCCACGCTTGCCAAGCAGCGTTTCCAAAAAATGCCGAAGAAAACAGGGGTGAATTATGGATTTTCAGCAAGCAACTGGCAGGAAAGATCCCTCTGGAGTGAGCACTGAGAAAGGGAAGGCTGACCTTGAACTTGCCGCCAACGTGTTTTCTTCCATTTGGTTAAGTCTTTGTTGTTGTCTTGTTTTAATCCCCTGTTGGTTTTAAAGGGAATCAATTTCACTACTGGACATATATTTTTCCCGGGGAATCCTCAGCAAATGGAGGTTTTGATTTGGAGCTTAGCTATTCCTGGAACCACGGAACATGGGTCACGTCCAGGAGCCGTTGCTGTTCGTTTGTGGCCAAACCAAAATGCCAGTAACGCCGGTCAAGTTGGACTTGTTTTTGGGAGATGTTTATTTTTTTGACACAAGGCAAGGCATAGTTTCTTACACCCTCTTTGGCTTACACGGCCTTTTTTGTTGTTTTGCGGGGGGGATGACTGGAAAAAACAAGAAACAGACCAGCCAGGCTGTGAGTCCATGTTGCGCGGATCTCAAAGGGAACTTGTGACTCATCACTGGTAAAACAAGTATGCCAGTGAAGACATAAACAAATAAGTTAATCATTCCACTTGCCTGATCATCACCTTCAGCGACCGCAAGAGCGAACATCTCTGACGGGAAGCCGTCACTTGTATTGATAAACCACTTAGTATAAATTAGTAAGCTGGTTTTAAGGGGACTCACCCCATACACCATCATAACCATAGTCACCACCTGCTTACCTGACGGATGAACGTCCGAGGCAGTCGATTACATAGGTGTTCATTTGGTTTGCAGTACGGCGGTTGGTCGAAAATACTGGTGTGGTCCTTTCGGGAGGGAAGGGGGACTCGCTAGATGTCCGAACCCAAACCATGGGACTCGCAAATTGTCCCATGTCCTTTGCCGGCTCATCTGTGTCAGCGTCTCTCTTTTTGTCCTTTGCATAAATGACGTTAGAAACAAGTTAGATCCTGGGCTTAGGGTGTCCACGTACAAGTCATATGCCGCAAGTACCACTCATGGTCCTGCTTCCTTTGGGCAAATACCAGGGCAGTCACAAGACTCGCAGCTGGTTTTTTGGGGAAAAGAACCATGTCAATTTGACCACGGCACCATGTATCAACGGGTGGGTCGATGTTCCTTCGCAGGCGCGCCGGGACCAACTGGAGCGGCTCGAGCAGCGCCAGCGCGTTGGGAGTCTTGAGATTTGCTTCGGCGGGCAGATGGCCGGTGGCGGCGATGGATTCGAGTCAGAGATGCAGGGAATGAGAAATGGCGTCAGACCAACCGAGTCCAACTCAGGACCCCTCAATGGCTGGCAAATGACCCCAAAACAGCCATTGGGTTTGCCAGCCATTGGGAGGTCCTTGACTGGTGTTTTTCGTTGAGGGAGTTCTGGGTTGACCACAATGAGGTGTAAAGGAGTCCAAAAGCAATTTTGGCAATACGCGAGACAAATAACATAGTCGGCTGCTCACCGAAGTGAAGCGAATGTACCCGGATTAGTTTTTTTGTGGGGTACTGGCAACCCCTGATCTTTGTAGAACCCATCAATTGAGTTGGGGGAGTCACCCACACAAATCCAGTTTGTTTGCTCCAAAACGGAAGGAAGACGCGTACTTATTTAAAAAAAGTCCCTTTCGGAATGACCTCTTTGGTGTCAAGAGAACAACTACTGAATTTCCTATAGAACTTCATGTAGCTTGTTTCTATCACCATGTTGTGTTTTTGTTGGTATTTTGCCCCCCATACTCTCACTCATTTGCCCAGTTCGACTCAGCGTTTTCAGCATGTATTGTCCTGTAAACCCCTCGATGGGTTGACCGATGCATTTGGGGTCTCCTCCAAACACATGTTATGTTTTAGGGTAGACAAAAGATAAGGAATCTGACCGTATGACGACTGTGTACCCCACGTGAACCCAGTTATCATGGCCAGACTTAACTTGCCTCCATTTTTGGTTTGCCCTTTTTGGTTTTCCATCGTTTTACCTCTCTGCACGGGTCCAAGTCTTGTTTCAGACGATGATGGTGTAGCAAAAGCCTCTTTTCCCCTTCGCCATGTTCCTGCGAGTTTTCAAAGGATCTAGGAGTACTTTGCCCATTCATTCCAGGGATCCTTTTTTTCAGGAAAACATCAAACACCCAGGGGAAAGAGCCGGTTTTTGAACAGAACGATGGTTGAAAAGAATTGGGAATCAACCCCTAGAAAGGATGCGAAGCCCTTTGGTTCCCTACTTTCACCGGGTTCATTCTTTGACCATTTCTGGGGCTTATTCAAGTCGGAGACTGCGACTTGGGGAGTTGATACTGGTAGAATGCTGGGGCCCAGAGCTCCACTTTTGGACTAACCCAAGGCAGACTTAAACCCAGGGGTGGTTAATGTCCTCTAAAGGGAGAACTTTTGGGTAAAAGCCTACCTCGGGTTAGTCAAAAGTGGAGCCCTGATGGGGTCATGATGAGTTACATTCTGCAAGTGAGGTAGCCTTGCGCTTCACAGAACCCAACCACGTATTGGGTCTGTCTCTTTTTGAGGGTACCCCCTTTCGGTTTGGTTTAAAGGGAAGCCACGAGGACAACCCACATTTTTTGGGTCCCCTGTTGTGACACAAGGCCTTGCAATACTAATACCCGGCAACTTGGACAGGGAAGCTCCCTGGGAATCCTGTTGCGGTCGGTTTCAAGATCTGATTGCTTGGTGCTTGCATAATCCCACCCATATTATAAGCCACTATTAAACCTCCCAGGTTTTTCCACAACATGTGCTTCCCCCAAGCTGCATTTGCCTTGCTAAGCTTTGTATGACAAGGTGTTTAAGCTCACAAAAGGGGTCTTGGAGGCCAGCCTCGGCAACAGAAAGCCTGTGATTCATCAGGGCCGCTTGGGCTCAGAAGAACTAGCTGCTGTTTCCATCTAAAGTGCTATTGTCCAGAATGGGCCAAGAAGGCAAAAACCGAAGTGGTGTTTCCAATTCAATTGGCTGCGAAGGGGCCAGATGTAAAAGGAGGAGGGCCAAAGCGGCTCCAGATCAATCAAGGCTTTCCTCAAAGATTCACAGTTTTGGGCGCTTGTCCAAACCTCGTCGACCTTGAAGGGTTTACGAATTGGGGGTAACCGTTATGTTTCTGCAAGGGGATCCCTGCAGGTCATTCTCAAAACCCCTCAGACCCTGGCGGCTTCCAGCCATCGACTTAGTTTGTTTCTTTTAGTTGGTGTCGTGGCAGCTTCCTTTAAAAACCCATCAAACCATCCCGGGGAGAGGGGATCGAAGGGGACCCGCGATCCGCCGGTGGAGAGATGCGTGCGCTCAGGTTGCGGATGAGCTCCGGGGTAGGCGGACTGCGGGGTGGCGAAGGGGGTAGGGTCCCGGGGCGGGGGGTGGGGGAGGGGTTGGTCAACACACCAGATTCCGATTCAATATTTACATAGAGAACAATATAGATCTCTACATACTAGGGCGTGTCTTTTTTGGGGTGCCATTTTGGTTGAGTGAGATTAAAAGGGAACCAAAGGTGAAACAGCCATTGGGGGTTTGATTTGGGGTTCCAGACATCTTGGGCAGCAAAATTCAGGTACGCCCTCAGAAAACAAGTGTTGTTGTTTTCCTTGTGGTTTCCCTTTACACCAAATATGAACAGGGTGCCCTCCTAAGGCAGGGAAATGAATGGGCGCTCGGGCCAAAAGTAGGCGCCTTTTCGCTTTGAAGGGTCCTATACTTGAGGCCGGAGTCTTGACATCCCACGCGCGTTGCCCTTGCTTCAGATCGGAATGCGAGAAGCAAAAGCTGGCACATGCCTTTGTGCCCAGCTTGGCGGAAGTCAATATGGTCTTCAATGTGGGTGTCTTTTTAGGGGACCCCTGTTTTGTGGTTTTTAAGAGCAACCAAAAAGAACGCCTCCATTTTGGGGTCCCCTAAGAAAACACATCTTCATGGGGTTTGCTACGGACAACGGACTTGATCATCACATCTGTTTTCGGGATATCTTCGATATTGGAGAGCTTACAAGATCCTTCCGGAAATAAGAAGGATCCTTTCATATCCAACCACTGGAGGGTGGTCCAGCAGTCCATTAATCTGAGCACCCCTTGCAGGGCGGCGCTGCTCGCTTGTCAAACCAGAATGGTCTTGACATCACCGGCTTCCGCGCCGCAAAAGGCCGCCGGCCTCGGAAATCCGACTTTAGAGTGCAATGGCATACGCTTGGCCGGACTGCCAGCCCTACCAGTCGAGCTGCGGCGAAAGTCGGTCATAATGATCCGGTGGTCCCGGGTGGAAGGGGCCATCGCTCAACCGGATAAGAGGTGGCGCAGCTAGAAGCGGAGGAGCCTGCAGCGGCGTTGGTGCAAGGCGGCGTTTAGGCAAACCGTGCTGAAAGCCCTTGGGCTAACTGAAGGTGCTGAGAGACACCAGCCCCTCTTCTAAGTCCCCCAGTGCTCTTTGTAACCCCTTTTTTGGGGGAGGGTTCCCCTACCTTATTCTGACCGCTCTATTGGAGGACCTAGTCTTTCGCCAACTTGCGCCCGGAGCTTTGGCGATCCAAAAAAAAAGCCACCCACTTTCTCATGTCCGTTTGGGGCAAACCTTTGAATTGTCGTCCGTTTTATTCTGGGGGGAGGGGCAAATCTGTCGCTGGACTTTGACTTGTTGGGAAATGATGATTTTTCCCACCAAGCAGCAAGCAGTTCCCAACATTAGCCACAGGGGGGTTGAGCCATTCAGAACCATGCCTGAATGATTCAATTTCGACCCAAAAAGACAACAGCTGGTTCTATGGAACTGCGTACATCATGAGGTAATGAAGGATTTTGGATGCACTTAGGGACACCCGCGTAATGGGTCTTGGTGCTTCCCCCCGCTTTAACCTCAGACTTTAGACCTTGCTAATTCTCAGTGGGCAAGCAACACTGGTTTTCGAAGCAACGAACTTGCAAGCGATGGTGCATCGGGGTTCATTCCCTCGTTCCCGTCCCGTCTGAGAACCATTGCGAGTACCTGCACTCCCCAGGACCATTTAAAAATGGGGTCATTACCAAAAGTTCAGGGGTTATGCCCCCTTTTTCGAATGGTCATGGAGACTCTACGTAGACTTGGGGTCGTTCAATACCTGGAAGGTACCAAGCAACTCTCAGACGAATTCCTTTTTGCTTTCCTTACACACTTGCAGGTGTCATGTTTTGAGGGTGCCATGTTTTAGTGTTTTTACAGGAAAGCCAAAGGAAAAAAACAAATTTCGTGGGACCCCCCCCCTAAACAAACCACCCACATAGCCCTTCGGGGTTACATACCACCAGTAACTGGAAGCACTGGCTCTTTCGCCAGATTCCCTGGAGCTGTGCTGGGCCGCATCAGTGAGCTGCTGCCGCGTCCTCATGGGTTCCTTCTTAGGTTCCCCTGATGAGTGTGCAGGCCCGAAGTGGCTGGGGTACTTTAAAGTTTGTGCTTTTTTGTGGCCAATTTTTAGGGGCGATACAAATTACAAAGATACTATGGGACCCCGCAAGACAATTTGTATTTATGTTGGTTCCTGGCTTCTCCGCTTCGTAAAAAAATGATCAATCGTATAAATGTTTAGTTGCTTGGTAAGGGGTGCCCCCTTTTAGTGGGAATGCTTGATCTTCTGGAGGACCCCCCCACAACAAAAAAGGGTTGGAGAGGAACTTCGATCCGGATCCCTTCTCGGGGAAGCTTACTCATTCTTTTCAGGGATCCGAATCTTTTCAGGAAACCATCAAACACCCAGAGAAAACAGCGATCGGTGTTTTGAAAAGAACGATGGATGAACAGAATGGACAAGGAGTTAACCCCTAGACGTGTGATCATGACGTAGCTTTCGTTGAGAGTATTTGCCGCGCCTCATTCTGACGCTTGAGGCCTTTGTCCACGTAGCCCGCAGACATTCAGCCTTATGGCCAACTACTCTAAACAAGGATTAGAATCGGTGGCTGGCTGAAGCCACTTGAGCGCCACCCTGGAAGGTTGTATGCTCAAGTGCTCGCTACACACATACATCCAGCGCTTGAACACGACTTGTCACCTTCAGCTGAAACAAAAAATGGTTGCAGTTAGAGTATGTTGGCGCACTACACTGATGCAACAAAGGCTGACTCCACGTACGCAAAATCACACTGCCTAGCATTTGGTACTGGATTGTGCTGCGCCGACAGTGTATCACTGGTGCAACCACAATTGTAGTCACTCACCACTTGGGTGTCTGCACGAGCCGATGGTGCAGGCGCTTCAACACAACACGCTCCAGCACAATGTGTTGTGGCACATCACACTAGAGCAATATCATATGAAATTGAGATGGCTGGGAGCAACCAAGCTTACTCTTGGTTTCATTCGGAGGATCTGCCAAAGGCAACTGCTTCTTCAGGGTGGAATATCAAGATACTAAGGGATGGTGCCCTATCTAGTGGGGAATTGTTTCATGTTTTGCCGGGATTCCTTCGATTAATCTGAAGTCGCAACTACTTGGATGTGCATCCCGCGCAGGTGTGCTCGTCAATTACCTCCGCTGAACAAGAACTCGAAATGGCACGAGCAAATTGTGGTACAATGCCAGTCACAAAAGCTAACCTGCATTGCTGCCGCGGGATGTTGTTTGTTTTGTTTTTGTAACCTTTTAGCTTTTTAGTGTTTAGTGATAGTTTCCATACAACCCACTAAAAGTTAAACTTTAGTGGGGGATTTGAGGGCAGCCCAGTAAACTCAAGAAGGACTTTGTTTGTTTCCAGGGTAAGACCGCGGTATGGCCATTTGGCATCCGAAGCACTCTTGGAATGAGAAGCCCCTTGATAAATTGGAGTCCAGCCATATGCAGAGGCTTCCCAGTTGGGACATGGCGCGAGACATCATGTGCATTTCACTCGGCCAATTTCAAGTTGTGGGGAACACCTGCGATTTACCCTCTCACCAATTAACGTGGAACCTGACAGTGGGTCCCTTCAAAAGGAACATGGTCTTCCAGGAACCCCCCGCCAGGTTCTTACATCCAGGGTCAACAACTTCCCTTTGCGCTACTCGAAGCCTAGGCTGCCCACCCAAAAGCGCTTCGACTTGGCTCTGCAGATGCGGCGCCGGCGGAGTTTTTTTTGTGTCGTTTCTTAGGGAAAGGCAACTAGCGGCTGCCATGTTTTTTGTTTTTGTTCACAAGTTCATGCCTGATCTACAGGACTTCCGGTTTTAGACATCACTTTCCCTGAGCATCGGCTATTGATTGTAATCAATAGGGTTTTATCTCTATTGAAGAGGCCTTTTTTTCAATATAATATATTGATTTTCAAGGTACAATTTTCAATTAAACTTTCAAATGCGAAATCAATTAAAAACAGCCTTAAATTGAACACAGAAATCAATTGGGAAATCAAAATCAAACTTCTTTTTTTCCATGCATAGCCCTGCTTTTGCAGGCTGCTGGGTGAAACGTTTTTCCTTTTGTCAAGGAGTACGCATGCAAATCCCTTTGGCCAAAAAGGTGAAGGTTTTTCCCAAATAGCCTGCAAATCCCTCTGAGAAAGTGCATGAAGCTTATTGCCTTTTTGGCAAGGAATTGCTTGCAAACCCCTTTGGCCAAGGGAGAAAGACTTTTCTTTGTGGCAGGGGGTTGCAGGGCAACCTCTCACCCTTTTCATCAAAGGGTTGAGGGTGGTGGGCTCAAGGCTCATCAGTGGTATTTTCATGGCAGGTAAAACCTGGCCTGGTCAGTTGCAAATGCAAGAGGGCTCTGTATTTTAAGGTAATCTTGGCAGACACCTTTGAGGTTTTGATTCCAAAGGCACAAGAGTGCCCCAAGCGACTGATCCTTCCAACATAATCTTCAGAGCGAAAGTTCCAATGTGCCTTTGGGTTCAAAAACTTGCTGTTTTTGATGAGATGCAGGAAGCTGTGAAATTTGTATGTCACATGAAATATTTTTCGGCCTTTTGTCAAGGCCAATTTGTTGAGCGCATCATATGCAGAGACGAACCTTTTGGCAAGGCCACAAAGCTTTTCATAATCTTGTTTTGATGGGATTGTTGCAGCCTGGTCCATGACTTGGATAATTTGACAAAAGGCACTCAAGCTTTGTTTCATTTGTTGATGTGCCTCTTGATCATCATCCAGAACATCCTGCAAGACTTCCAGTAGGCAAGGGCAGAAGTGTTTACATTCTGCAGCCTTGGAATCCAGGGATGCAAATTTCTTGTGGGGAGATGCAGGGTCACATATCATGGACAGCCGGAGGTTGTTCATTCTGACCTTCACGTGGTCCCTCTTGTAGATTTCACAAATCTTGTTAAAGACCAAGTTCAGCCTTTGAGAGGCAGCCAATTTTTGCCTCCCAACCCCATCAAAGAAGCATATATAGTGCAGGATGCTTCCTGTTAAATGGGACCCAACTCCATGACAGTACATGATATGTAGGGCATCACCCCTGACATGGTTTGTGGTAAGGCCCTCAATGCTGAAAAGGGGATGGCTTGAGCTTGGGTGTGCCACGGCCTGCTCTGTAGTGACACGCACAAACTTTTGGTCATGCTCAAGTAGAAGCTTGACTGATTTGCCTTTGAGGCATTTTTTCTTTTTGTAAACAGGCCTCCTTGCATCGCATTCATGGCAGGGGGCCTTGCTGGCCCAGTGCGGCAGGTGAAGGATGTTGCTGAAAAACTCATGGTCACCTTGTACACACCACACAATTGCCTTGTGACCCCCTTTTGTCAAGGGTTGGCCAGCCAACTCCTCCATGCCAAGCCCTTTTGGCAAGGGTCCTCCCCAAGGGTCTTGGGTAGGGTGGGTGCCTTTTGACAAGGCCCCCAAGCTCCAGCTAATCCATGCATCCAGGATGTCCCATGTGCCTTTGGCTGTGCATGCTTTTGGCCAGGCCACAATCAACAAGTGAGCATCCAGAGCCCCATGATGGGTCAATAGAGGGCCCCAACTCTGGACCATAAGTGAATTGTTATTCTCATATTCCACTCCATCCCCATGAAAAAAACAAGGGATTGTTTGTGCTGGGTTCTGCACCCTTTTGTCAAGGGCCAAAGGTGGAATCAGCTTGTCATCCCCCGACTTTTCCACTGACTCCCAGAATTGTTCACATTGCTGGCAGCCAAACACTTCTTCAAAAACAAATGGGTAGTGCTCATGTAGCTGGGAGAACATCAAATGTGGCAGCAGCACACCTGCCTTCTCTTCAGGGTCTGTATTTGGCTTGTTCTCTTTGATTGGCACACTTACCTGCAAAGGCTGGCATATCTTTATTTGCTTACAAAACATTGCCATCACATCTCTGTGGCAGTTTCCTTTCTGGCTGCCAAAGCTGCCACATTTTGCCAAGTTCATGAGGTCAACAGGCTGCCCCTTGTCCAAAATTGCCAGGTGAGCAATTTCAGTAATTTGGGTAGCAGATAAAAAGCCTTGAGACCAAAGTTCTAACAGCCTGGTGCACAAAGAGCTAGGTGTTGTAGTGTCCTTTTGGCAAGGGCTTGGGGCACACTGCTCCATTTCCTTTTTCCAGCCCCTCAATCGTTTGATGCCTTTGGGGTTGTCATCCATTACCCTTTTTGCAAGGGGCTTCCCTTTTTGCCAAAGGGGCTGCTGAGTCAAACCTGTACATTGTTTTCTGGAGCCAAATGGCAATCAAAGCAGACCCTCTAAAGCCATGCAAGCTAAACCTTGCCCCCCCTGTCAACCTGACATGGCCTGACAAAGGTTTCATGTCAACACCACATACATGTTTGTTTGCTTGGGGGTGGTGACAAGCTTGTTTGGCAACCACATGCCTTTACAGTATTTATATGTCATATTGCTGAAGCCCTTGGAAAAAGGGTGTGCCCCTGCTGCCAAAGGTGAAGGCCTATGTTCAAGATTTTCTTGACAAAACCATGCTTTGTAATAGTGCAAATTGTTTTCACTGGCTGTGCCCTTGAAAAAAGGAGCTCCCTGTGTGACACATTAAAGTGTTTGGGTTTGTGGGATAGAAGGGCACCCCCCCCCCCCTCCACTGCGGTCTTTTCCATGCCAATGCCCAGTCTGGTGCCAGCCCCTTTCTCCAAGGGAAAAAACTGTACATATACTATATCCTTTTTACAAGGATGTTCCCAGCCCCTTTCTTGAAAGGGTGGATGACTGCACATTTGCTATTTCCTTTTTACAAGGATGTTGCCAGCCCCTTTTTGCAAGGGAGATTTGCAACTCTGCATGCAAAGCCATACCCTTTTGGCAAGAGTACATTCAGCTTTTGGATGCCCTGCTTGCTGCCTTGTTGGCCAATTGGATCATCTCTTTGACCTCTGCTTTGGCAAGCTTGATGTCACTGGCAGTGTCCAGCAACATTTGTTTCAGTGCACTGATGCCCATGGCTGCCTCTTTTTTCAAGAGGACCTGCTTCAACTTGGCAATTCTTTTCCCCAAGCTAACCATGCTTGCTTGGTACTCAGCCTTTGTGGTTTTTGTCACTCTTTTTTTCCCCTCAGCCTTGTGCAGGGCGCTTTCCATGTCAGACAACACAGAGTTGGCTTGGTCCCTTGCTTTTTTAGCCTTGCTAATGCACTCTTGCCATTGCTCTGGCTCGGTTTTCTCCTCTGAAAATGGCGGGTTTGGGTTTTCAGGGATCCCATCTTTCAAAGCCAGTGGTTTTGGCCCTTTGCCCTTGCCTTTCAATTTGCCAGATCCTTTTGCCAAGGATTTGCCTTTGGAACCCCAGCTTTCCACATCCACAATGTGGCTTTGGAGGTCCCTGCTGAACCCCTGCCCCCATTGGCTTTCAACTTCTTGGTTGCTTTGGAACTCCTGGCCATGGGACCATTCCTTGCTAGCTTTTGCTTTCAGGTGCACGGTTATATCGCCTTGGTCGAAGTACTCATAGTAGCCTGGGGTCCATGGGTCACTACGCCACTTGATACGTCCTGATTGTATGTGGGCTTGCAGTTCATGATCATCAAACCTCTGCAGGATTGTCTTCTCAGATTCCCATTTTTCCCTTTTGTCAAGGGGTTTGCTCTGTTGCAGGGACTCCTTCATGTTCATAAACTTTGCCACATTCTCCTGCAGCAGCCACATGGCAACACTGTGTCCTTTTTCCCTTTTGGCAAGGGAGTCAAAGGCTTCCTTTTCTTCTGGGTTGTGTTTCAGCCATGTCTGGAATTTGCTCCATGCTTTGCTGCTTTCCTGAGGGGTCATCATCTCTTTCAGGCTCTTTGCCCCTTCTACTGCACTCTCTGCTGTTTCAGCAACCTTCTCCATTTTCTCTTGCATGGACAACTTTCCTAGCTTAGCCAGGTTCTTTGCTTTCAGCTTGCTCCCTTTTGTCAAGGGTTTTGTTGTATGATCACTCCCATCCTTGCTTGCAGAGCCCGCTCCTTTTGACAAGGAAGTGTTGGAACTTGGTTTCCCTTTTAGCAAGGGCTTCTTCACCTTCTTTTTGGCTTTTGGTGCCATTGCTCAGGGAATTCTACATCATGAGCCAAAAAATGCTGTTGGTGATCCAAACATTGAAATCTGATGAAATCTGATGAAATCTGATGAAATCTGATGAAATCTGATGAAATCTGATGAGGTTTCATCAGATTTCATCAGATTTCATCAGATTTCATCAGATTTCATCAGATTTCATCAGATTTCATCAGATTTCATCAACCTGTGAGTGGGCTGGTTTGTCCAAACACAAGGGGCGTTTAATTTGCTTCCCCTTGAAATCGAAGGGGCAACCCAGCTCAGAACAGTTACAAACTGGATTGAGTGTTTGTGGAAATGTGCCTATGGACAATGAGGTCAGTTGGTTGCAGTTTTGTGCCTTTTGGCAAAAAGGGCCTTTAGTTTGCTTCCCCCTTGAAATTACAGGGGCAACCCAGCTCAGAAGACCAGTTACAAACTGGATTGATTGTTTGTGGAAATGTGCTGATGGACAATGATGCAAGTTGGTTGTGCCTTTGGCAAAAAGGCAGGGGCCTTCAGTAACTGGTGCTGGGTGCCAATGACACAATAGTGGTTGCCCTTAGAATAGATGTTTGCTTGGATGAAATAGTCAGTCCATGTGGCCACCGCTTGATGGTCATGTGTTGGAATGCTAGTGGGTCTTCATGGGGTGCCA